CTTAACAACAGTCCTTAATTCCAAAAATAATTGGTCCAAATAATAATAATAATAAAAAATAATAATAATTGGTAATAAACAATAATTGATATACTGTAAATACATCAAACAAAAATAATATTTTTGGTTAATGTTCTTTTTTTTATTTTTATGAATTAATTACAAATGAAAGACAGTTCAGTGAATGCATCAAAACCCAACAAGCGAGTCATTAATCTGATTCAAAGAGTTTATTTTTTTTTACTCATTCATTAAAATTCCTCATTCATTTGTCACAACTGTTCCCAGACCTAGTTTTCTTGCATAAATCAATCTAAAAGCGAAGTTGCAAGGCCATAAAACAACCCCAATCGAAATGCTTTATATCTGAACATATGATATCTACCAACAAACTGGATTATCAAGGAACTGTCTGGCTTTCAAATCAGAACAAACCATTAGCGAGTCGAGAACAAGTAAAATGAAAACCTACAGACATGCTGCACACTTCTAAACGCTCAGAGAAAGCAGTGAGGACAGTTGTTTTTCACCTTAGCTTTTACCTGAGGTGTTGCGGTATTTTCAAGTGCGTAAAGGTCATCTTCTCAAGACACAATCTCTCATGTTCACCTGTAAACAGAAGTGACCTGACAAACTCAATGTCTGTGTCCAGTGCGTGTACAGGCTTAGTGCGACCTTATCAAAAGACCTTATAAGACCTTATAAAACAAGAAGAAGAAGCCTGGTGACATTCAAAGAGAAAGGTCAGGTCTTATCGCAGCATGTGCAGAGAGAAGCTAGGCCATCTTGAGAAGATAAGAGAGCAGCACAGCATTCTGGGTAATTGGTGCAGTTGCTGTGGGCAACAGCAGAAAAACTGCAAAGCAGCTCAGTAGATCCTGAAGATCTGTTAAGATTCATATTACATAATTCACTAACATGTAAAATGAAGGAGGGGTATAACTGACAAAATTAAACATAGAAGAAAATGTTTAAATATCACATGAAATAATAATAATTCAATAAGTATGCAATTAAATGTGTCTATACGAGTATACAAAAGGTGAGAAATGTATGTAAATATATATATATATATATATATATATAAATAATAACCATGTTAACAAATAAGGCAGACAATGTAGTTAGGTACAATACATTATCCCTAAAAATCAGAACATAAATAGTGCAAAGTTTTGTCTGTTTTCTGTAGAAAAAAAAGTATTGCTGAATTAGTACTGTAACAATATTCCTGTATTTATGCCTTTTCCTACATAATGTATATTGTATCATAATATTTTATATAGTATTACTATTATACAAGGGTGTTTGTGACCTTGTTTATTGAAAGACTACATATATATTTATACTGAAAGACATTTACAAGATATTTATACAATAAAAAGACATTTAAAATAAGGTAGCACACTACAAGACTAAATATAATAAATAGTATATAATAACAACAAGTAGGAATATAATAAATATGGGAAGTGAACCTAAAATAAACAACACAATATTCAACTATATGTAATTACATAATCAAGACAAGTGAATGGACTTGACTTGATAGACAATATAATTATAAACACCTTACTACTCATCATAACTATGAGACATTATTAAATAACTAATAAATAACTAAATTTATTAAACAATTAATTACTGAACCAACCAAAACCAAACCCAAAACAGAACTTAAACGAAGCAAATCTAAACAAAACCACAAAACAAAGCAAAAATAAAAAAGCAAACATAATAGAACAAATACAAAACAAAAACAACAAAAAGAGCAAAAATCAAAAACACAAAGCAAAGAAAAAAACATAATAGAACAAAAGCAAAACAAAAACAACAAAAAAGGCAAAACAAAGCGATAACAAAACAGAACAAAAACATAAAAGAACAAAAACAAAACAAAAACAACAAAAAGAGCAAACAAAACCACAAAGCAAAAGGGAAAAAAAACAACACAAAACAAAGCAAAAAACAAAACAAAAATCAAAAACACAAAGCAAAAAAAAAAACATAATAGAACAAAAAGGCAAAACAAAGCAAAAACAAAACAGAACAAAAACATAATAGAACAAAAACAAAACAAAACAAAAAGAGCAAACAAAACCACAAAGCAAAAGGGAAAAACACAAAGCAAAAAAAAAAAAAAAAACAGAAAAAAACAAAAAAAAAGATTAAACAAATGTA